ATCATAAGCATAGATATACGCAATTGGGATACAATGAGCCTGACTCCCGATCCTGTTAGACGCCTCTTACGACAAGCATGGGTTGCCAGATCTTCACGGTGTAAGCCCCATCAGAAATGAACGCAGAAACAATGAACGAAAAACAGACCAAAAGAAATACCAGTAAAACATCTTATTGGGCGTCCCCTCATCACCCATGGACTCATCCTTAAAATACCTGGTTTTATTTAACCATGGGGATATACTTCTCTACTTAAAGCTGCATGTTTAACTTGTGTTCAGTGTTACTGTCCCCAGTGTTCCTATGTCCACCTATTAAAAAGACCCAGCCTAAACTATACGGGTTTAGACCAGATAAACATATTTATTATCTGAGAGGCTGAAAATATCGGGTTCATATTTTTCACACGATTCCCTAGAGCAAAATATCACTTTGTCATGGTGACGTGACGTCATGAACAATGCTATGACGTCACGTTTCTTCTGTGACATTGCGTTCTACATACAGCGACGGTGGGTAGCCAGCCTATGTTTGAAAGTAGATTTGGGTTTGTTTTCCTCAATTTGACGACTTTGGTAATGAACAGAACATCGTATTCGTGCCCATACTCGTGCCTAAATATTGGTATAACCCTCGCTCTCGCTCGGGAAATAACGACTTTTACTCACTCGTGTCGTAAACATAGTATGATATGGGCACTCATATCCCACCGTAACATGAATTCGGCGTTCTCCTGTTTTCGGCGATCGTACTTCTCGCGTGATTTCGCCCGAACGCGCGCGAGGTCAGGGGTCAGTATGCAAATTTCCTGAAAGGAGGTCACGTCAACTCGCTCAGTGAAAAAGGTTTTCAATAATGGAAATCAGGAAGGTAAGAATAACAAAAAAATAGCAGTACCTAAATAATAACATGAATTTTCTTAATACTTTATTTTACCTCATTATAAAGCTGTGTAAATAAGGTGAATGAGCCGACTATCAATCTTCGTTTGCATCGTCTGCTAGCCGATGATGTTTGTCAACATTATATCACGTGACTTGTGACGTAAGATGCCGCTCGATTAAAAAACTACGGAAACATTTTCGGGCCATCCTTATCCAATTTCTCCGTAACGTTAAACAATTTCTGATAGGTTTTTCTTGTATCCTTTCAGACAAATACGACTGTGCGCGGTCCGTATAGGTCCAGTTACACCAGAGATGATCTAGATAATGCTTACAGACTAGTGTTAGAAGAAAATGTGTCCGCACAGAGAGCAGCAGCCAGGTGGGGGGTTCCGGTTTCTACACTTAAGGATCGTTTGTTGGGCAATATCAGCGTAGACACTGTCAAGTCGGGTCCCATGCCTCTGTTCTCCTCACAAGAAGAATCCTTTTTGGCGAGCCATATCAGAGTTATGGGGGAGATTGGCTATGGTTATACGCGTCAGGAGACCATTAATCTTGCAAGCGATTACGCTGTCAATCAAGGACACAGAGACAGAGATCATCCTTTAAGTCTCCGATGGCTGTACAGTTTCTTAGATAGATGGCCGGAACTTAAAGTACAGACACCGAGGAAACTTGAAGCAGCGAGGGCGTGATCAGCCACCAAAGAAAACATCAGTCGGTATTTCACAGAACTCTCCAACGTCATGCAAAAAGTACAACTTTCAAAGTTCACCCCAGTTCACTGCAAGGACATTCTTGGAATGTCGGTGTGGAGAAGTTTTGAGAAATGTTCAAACATACAAGCCAAGGAACACCATCAGTAAAATCGTAGGCGGGAAAGTCATCACAGATCAGGCAATTGTTGACAGGATAGCCGAGCACAAGAAACAGCATCCAGAGAAACGGAAGGTTTATAAGGAAGTCAAGCGGCACTACATCGTTGTCCACATCGTCCCTGTTGTCTAAAGGGAATTCTGCCCAGAATAAGTCAAAAGGGAAAGGACCTGCACGCAAGAAACGCAACGCTCCGCCCCCATCAACAACCTTCTCAGACAGTTTTTCCGACAGTGCAACTGATGACGACGAAGTTTGCTGTGTGTGCGGACAATTTACACCCGAAGCATTGCATCGTTGTGACTCAATCACGTTTGTGAAATGGGCACAGTGTGACAAATGTGGTCACTGGGTTCACCTTGTCTTTTGTACAAGTGTCACCGTTTTACGTACACATGCGGCATTTTTCTGTCCCCACTGTGATCACAGCCCAGTGGAAGAGTGAACTGCATTCATAAACTGTCATCAACAGTGTATATAACCTGTTTGGATTTCATCGTTATCTGTGCTTGAAATTGTTGAACTGACATTTTATTTTAACTCTTAAAGATTGACAAGTGACTAGAAGACACGAATTTGCCTTGATGAATTATATCCACACTGGAACACCATAGATATTCTGTGTATAACGTTATCGCCGAAAACTAGTGACGTAATGCTCAAGTTGCCAAATATAGAACGTTACGGTCATGGCGGCCTTGCTCAACCGACGAAGCCGAGAGAATCATAAAAAAAAGTAAGAGGAAACAACTTGGCTAACGTACTTTGTCTTGAATGTAAAATATTTTTATTACGATAGCATGGTTACATATGTACCGCGAATCGCTGTTACGTCGCCGAAAACAGGTGAAACTGGGATATAATATCCTCTATGTTGTAAACATATTGAAATAGCAGAAAATGACGTCATCATCGAACACCTGGCTGACCTCATTTCAAAGGGGTGTCAATGACCTTGTACTGAGCTGACTGTATACCTCGTAAGGATGAGAAAAACATATTAACTTGGTGCGCCTAGTGGCAGCAAAATGATCACGGGGAGTTGAGAATGGTAGTATGGCTGTGATTGACATCCAAGGAAACAATTACCAGCGCTTTGAGCATGCGTGCGGGATGGACTATAGCGCTATATGAATAACCATATATTAATATACTCAGCAAATAATGGTTGTCACCCCTCCCACCCCACACACCCCCACCCTCCAATTAAAATAATTGAAGGGGGTGACAACCATTATTGGCATGAGTATAATATACACCTGTCATTCATAGATTTATGATAACTCTTTCATACTAACACTATACAATTACACCCCATTCCTGATGGAATTTTAGATGAATTCCATGAAAGTTGCATTCCTAAATAGGTTGGGAAGCGCACGTACAATGCCCATGACGAGAACGCACATTTCTACAGTCAAAGTTGACACGCCCTAGCTAGTGTTCATTCTAACGAGCATGTAGCAGAGAAATGTCGTCAAAACTGTCGACAGAAACCTCCCTCCCCCTGCCACAGCAGTGCCCCCCTCATCCCATCCCTCCCCTTCCCCACAGCATAGTCCCACACACGCAAATATGGGTCACCAGATCGCGTCTCTGATAGCGCTGTGAGAGAGAGAGAGCGCTTTGCACGACACAATCCCACATATAACATGTGTTATATATACATGGAAGGTGCAATATTAGTCTCATGGAAGACAACGTGTCACAACACCCCAGGAAGATCTCCGAATTTACGCATCAGGTTCGTCACGGCGACGGCGACGGCTGCAACAGCGCTGGGACATCGCATCAGCCAACGCGCAGTACTCAGAATCAGAGCCTACCGTCCCTTCCGAGGAATGTACTTGGCAGCACAACATCGACGCCGAAGATTATAATGGGCGAGGCTTCCCTTAAACAGTTTGAGCCACCAGCACATTCAACGATGTAATAGAAGAAGAGCCTACGGGGATTGAACTGATGGAAGCGTTCCTACAATCTACCTGTTAACGCACAATTGGAATAAAACATGATGTATGAGTGAGCGAGTGAGTTAATTTAGTTTTACCCCGCACTCAGCAATATTACAGTAGAATATACTGTAGAATATTTGTAACGCGCCTTACCAGACTTCATATCCTGACCAAAGAGCACATATATACAGTATATAATCTGATGATTAATAACCCGGTTAACCTAAGCTGCCTGTGAGGCTCAAGAAGGTTAATAGTCACATGACTTATCCCACCGGGTACCCATTTTCTGCTCTGTGAACAGAGGCAATTTTAACAAACTCGCAGGTGGTCACCCATCCAAGAATTGTCCTCGCCTAACGTTGCTTAACTTCAACTGATTTGTGGGGCGGTGGGGTAGCCTAATTGTTAAAGCGTCGGCTCGTCACGCTGACGACCCGGGTTCGAATCCCCACATGGGCACAATGTGTGAAGCCCATTTATGGTGTCCCCCGCCGTGATATTGCTGGAATATTGCTAAATGCGGCGTAAAACCCAACTCACTCACTCACTCAACTGATTTGTGACCTGAGCTACATGCACAGGACCACACACCGCCACTTCTGTCATATTACAACATGACAGCTTAAGGTGTGTGAGTGAGTTTTCCACCGCTTTTAACAACATCCCATCAACATCACGGCAGGAGACACCTAGGGAAACGAACCCGGGTGTTCGGCGTGTACAAAAGCTTTAACCAATAGGCTACGCCCAGCTTAATGTTGGGGGAAACCCAAGATGATGCAGGTCCCTTACTTTCACCACTGACCAACGGATATCTTGCTGACAGATCTAGAAACCAAATCAGAGCAAACAGGTAATCGCACTCATATGTTCCTGGTGTTCAAAAGCGACGGAACTCTGTAAAGCGAATTGAGGCACCTTTGAAAACAAATTCGTTTAGTTTCGCGACAGCACCGACCATTAGACTAACTGTCCAGCTGTGACAATAATCTGAGTCAAATGATATCAGGATAAATATGAACGTCCTTGACCCAGTTGAATCCACCACCCTGTTTCTTGGACGGTACACCAGCCTGTCGTTGTCTTCGTGTACACAACGTGGTGTGAATTGTGTCAGTAATCTTGACTGCGTTTTGGCGCTGCGATAGGGCTGTTTTAAGTTTAAATGTTTCATTTTCACCAACAAACCCACTATTAGACTAGTAAATGGCCAGTCCTTAGATCGAATGTGTTTGGGTTTAGTGAGAAATTTATAATGGGAAATTAATAATCGAAAAAAATCAGATCTCTGTTTTATCTGACCTGGCAGAAATAGTGCCGTTATCGACCTATTTTAAACAGCTATCAGGTGTACATCTCAAGAACGCACCACTAAGATAAAGCAAACTGGTTTAACATAACGGGAAGTGACCTTAGTCCAGCGCACATTTAAAGCGTGATACACTCGGGCTTGTGACCACAAGGAGTAAGGTAAGCCATCATTGCTTCAATGGAATTCTTCTTGATACTGAATACCGTCGAGGTCTACATACACAGAATTGAATAACAATGGCCACAGTCGCATTAATGTAGCTTAGTATATGTTCGCGTAATTTGAATTCAAAAGGGGTGGATTTGTTTTGTAATGTTGCCTCGATCGTGGATTTCAAAAGAATGGAAAGAGGGCAATGGAAGGACGCCAAAACACCCTTGACGCAAACCTACCCACACACCACCATCTTCGTCATCCTTGCGTTCCGCGCCAGAATTGTTTGATTGTTTTTTCCCTTCAGATTCAACTTACAAGTAACCATGGCAACCAGGTGGGGAATATTCAGCGCAGGTAAAATATCTGGGGATTTCACAGCAGGCCTACTTAGTCAGAGCCCGGATGAGCATCAGGTGAGTGAGTATGTTTGTGGATGATGTATTATTGATCTATTTGGAGGATTTTTTTGTGTTATTGGATGAGAGGATGATTGGAAGGGTTCGTGAGTGAGTTAGTGATTTGTTGAGTTTGTCAGTGAATGAGTGGATGATTGGACTGGTTGTAAGTCAGTGGATGATTGGACTGGTTGTAAGTCAGTGGATGATTGGACTGGTTGTAAGTCAGTGGATGATTGGACTGGTTGTAAGTCAGTGGATGATTGGACTGGTTGTAAGTCAGTGGACTGGTTGTAAGTCAGTGGATGATTGGACTGGTTGTAAGTCAGTGGATGATTGGACTGGTTGTAAGTCAGTGGATGATTGGACTGGTTGTAAGTCAGTGGACTGGTTGTAAGTCAGTGGATGATTGGACTGGTTGTAAGTCAGTGGATGATTGGACTGGTTGTAAGTCAGTGGATGATTGGACTGGTTGTAAGTCAGTGGATGATTGGACTGGTTGTAAGTCAGTGGATGATTGGACTGGTTGTAAGTCAGTGGATGATTGGACTGGTTGTAAGTCAGTGGATGATTGGACTGGTTGTAAGTCAGTGGATGATTGGACTGGTTGTAAGTCAGTGGATGATTGGACTGGTTGTAAGTCAGTGGATGATTGGACTGGTTGTAAGTCAGTGTTGATGATTGGACTGGTTGTAAGTCAGTGGATGATTGGACTGGTTGTAAGTCAGTGGATGATTGGACTGGTTGTAAGTCAGTGGATGATTGGACTGGTTGTAAGTCAGTGGATGATGGACTGGTTGTAAGTCAGTGGATGATTGGACTGGTTGTAAGTCAGTGGATAATTGGACTGGTTGTAAGTCAGTAAATGAGTGGACTGGTTGTAAGCCAGTGGATGATTGGACTGGTTGTGAGTCAATGGATGATTAGACTTGTTGTAAATCAGTGGATGATTGCACTGGTTGTAAGTCAGTTGATAATTGGAAGTCAGTGGATGGACTGGTTGTAAAGTGGACTGGTTGTAAGTCAGTGGATGATTGGACTTGTAAGTCAGTGGAGTGACTGGTTGTAAGTCAGTGGATGATTGGACTGGTTGTAAGTCAGTGGATGATTGGACTGGTTTGTAAGTCAGTGGATGATTGGACTGGTTGTAAGTCAGTGGATGATTGGACTGGTTGTAAGTCAGTGGATGATTGGACTGGTTGTAAGTCAGTGGATGATTGGACTGGTTGTAAGTCAGTGGATGATTGGACTGGTTGTAAGTCAGTTGATGATTGGACTGGTTGTAAGTCAGTGGATGATTGGACTGGTTGTAAGTCAGTGGATGATTGGACTGGTTGTAAGTCAGTGGATGATTGGACTGGTTGTAAAGTCAGTTGATGATTGGACTGGTTGTAAGTCAGTGGATGATTGACTGGTAAGTCAGTGGATGATTGGACTGGTTGTAAGTCAGTGGATGATTGGACTGGTTGTAAGTCAGTGGATGATTGGACTGGTTGTAAGTCAGTGGATGATTGGACTGGTTGTAAGTCAGTTGATGATTGGACTGGTTGTAAGTCAGTGGATGATTGGACTGGTTGTAAAGTCAGATTGACTGGTTTGTAAGTCAGTTGGATGAATGGACTGGTTGTGGACTGGTTGTAAGTCAGTTGATGATTGGACTGGTTGTAAGTCAGTGGATGATTGGACTGGTTGTTGTCAGTCAGTGGATGATTGGACTGGTTGTAAGTCAGTGGATGATTGGACTGGTTGTAAGTCAGTGGATGATTGGACTGGTTGTAAGTCAGTGGATGATTGGACTGGTTGTAAGTCAGTGGATGATTGGACTGGTTGTAAGTCAGTGGATGATTGGACTGGTTGTAAGTCAGTGGATGATTGGACTGGTTGTAAGTCAGTGGATGATTGGACTGGTTGTAAGTCAGTGGATGATTGGACTGGTTGTAAGTCAGTGGATGATGACTGGTTTGGACTGGACTAGTTGTAAGTCAGTGGATGATCGGACTGGTTGTAAGTCAGTGGATGATTGGACTGGTTGTAAGTCAGTGATGATTGATTGTAAGACTGAGTGGACTGTTGTACTGTCAGTTGTAAGTCAGTGGATGAGTGGACTGGTTGTAAGTCAGTTGATGATTGGACTGGTTGTAAGTCAGTGGATGATTGGACTGGTTTGTAAGTCAGTGGATGATTGGACTGGTTGTAAGTCAGTTGGTGATTGGACTGGTTGTAAGTCAGTGGATGATTGGACTGGTTGTAAGTCAGTTGATGATTGGACTGGTTGTAAGTCAGTGGATGACTGGACTGGTTGTATGTCAGTGGATGATTGCACTGGTTGTAAGTCAGTGGATGAGTGGACTGGTTTGTAAGTCAGTGGATGATTGCACTGGTTGTAAGTCAGTGGATGATTGGACTGGTTGTAAATCAGTGGATGATTGGACTGGTTGTAAGTCAGTTGATAATTGGACTGGTTGTTAGTCAGTGGATGATTGGACTGGTTGTAAGTCAGTGGATGATTGGACTGGTTGTAAGTCAGTGGATGATTGGACTGGTTGTAAGTCAGTTGATAATTGGACTGGTTGTAAGTCAGTGGATGATTGGACTGGTTGTAAGTCAGTTGATAATTGGACTGGTTGTAAGTCAGTGGATGATTGGACTGGTTGTAAGTCAGTGGATGAGTGGACTGGTTGTAAGTCAGTTGATGATTGGACTGGTTGTAAGTCAGTGGATGATTGGACTGGTTGTAAGTCAGTGGATGATTGGACTGGTTGTAAGTCAGTGGATGATTGGACTGGTTGTAAGTCAGTGGATGATTGGACTGGTTTGTGGATGATTGGACTGGTTGTAAGTCAGTGGATGATTGGACTGGTTGTAAGTCAGTGGATGATTGGACTGGTTGTAAGTCAGTGGATGATTGGACTGGTTGTAAGTCAGTTGATAATTGGACTGGTTGTAAGTCAGTGGATGATTGGACTGGTTGTAAGTCAGTGGATGATTGGACTGGTTGTAAGTCAGTGGATGATTGGACTGGTTGTAAGTCAGTTGATGATTGGACTGGTTGTAAGTCAGTGGACTGGTTGTAAGTCAGTGGATGATTGGACTGGTTGTAAGTCAGTGGATGATTGGACTGGTTGTAAGTCAGTGGATGATTGGACTGGTTGTAAGCCAGTGGATGATTGGACTGGTTGTGAGTCAGTGGATGATTGGACTGGTTGTAAGTCAGTGGATGATTGGACTGGTTGTAAGTCAGTGGATGATTGGACTGGTTGTAAGTCAGTGGATGATTGGACTGGTTGTAAGTCAGTGGATAATAGGACTGGTTGTAAGTCAGTTGATGATTGGACTGGTTGTAAGTCAGTGGATGAGTGGATTGGTTGTAAGTCAGTGGATGATTGGACTGGTTTGTAAGTCAGTGGATGATTGGACTGGTTTGTAAGTCAGTTGATGAATTGGACTGGTTGTAAGTCTGGTTGTACGTCAGTGGATGATTGGACTGGTTGTAAGTCAGTTGATGATTGGACTGGTTGTAAGTCAGTGGATGACTGGACTGGTTGTATGTCAGTGGATGATTGCACTTGTTGTAAGTCAGTGGATGAGTGGACTGGTTGTAAGTCAGTGTAATTGCTCTGATTGTAAGTCAGTGGATGATTGATCTGGTTGTAAATCAGTGGATGATTGCACTGGTTGTAAGTCAGTGGATGATTGGACTGGTTTGTAAGTCAGTAAATGAGTGGATTGGATCCAGTGTGTGTGATGGAGCGGGATTATGAGTGAGACGTCTATTGTGTGAGTGGGTGAGAGGCAGTCAGATGAGTTATTCATGGATTGAGTGAGGTTTGTTTTGTGGATAGGTTAGTAGATGATTAGGTTGTCCATGTGCACGAAAGAGACACAACCACATTCATATTTCATCCAGATAAGTTTTTTGTTTGTTTCAGTAACTAGTTAACGGTTACGTTCAAATCACCCAAACGAAACACAAAACATGAGAAAGCACACCACACATTTCTATCTCTTTCAAAATGTTGTGCGTGATAATAACCATGGACACTTCTCTTAAAAAATAACCTCAAAGTTAAATAACTCCCACAAACAACTTTACAATAAGACTGACTGACTGACTGAGTTTGGTTTTACGCCGCTTTTAGCAATATTCCAGCAACATCACGGCGGGGGACACCATAAATGGGCTTCACACATTGTGCCCATGTGGGGATTCGAACCCGGGTCTTCGGCGTGACGAGCCAACGCTTTAACCATTAGGCTACCCCACCGCCCCCTTTACAATAAGAACATGGTCATAATGTATGCTAACTTTGAGCGTATGTGTTACTTTATTCCAGGTTATTGCTATAGCAGCAAGATCACAAGAGAAGGCTCAAGCTTTTGCAGATAGGTTTGGCATCAAGAATGCATACGGCAGTTACAGCGAGTTGGTTCAAAATCCAGACATTGGTATATAAATTCCGTATTATACCACCTTAATGTTTTGTATCTTGAATGTACTTTCGTTTCTCAAGAAAAATGTCATTTTGGTGACAATGGCGACACATTACACATATTTCTCTATCAATGTCCGCGTAAATTTGGAAATCCGGACATATGACGTCACGACAAGGAGCAAATAATTATCTGATGAACAGGCTCTGTTAAATGTTTATCGGCCTCGGTCGAGCCTGTCACCTATTTTGTTGACTTGCTAGCACACCTTCCTGTAAAAAGTATCACCGCGATTCACACGAACAATACATAAATTGTAATTGTATAAGGTGATCAAGTTCACGCAGGAAATATGAACTGATATACATGATGCTCCCACAATACAGTACTCTGTAACTTGATTGTGGATCTCCTGTCATTAGCGTCACCCTTCAGCATTTTTAGCAGGGTGCAGCCCCTGTCCTCTGTTATTGGCGTCCTGTCCTGTTATGTGGCTCCCTGCCCTTCTTTTAGAACTACAATTCATATTAACACTTGGTGTTTTTCAGTTTCTATTTTATGTTGAAGTTAAGTGAAATAGCTGTGCTCTTTCAGCCTTTTAGAATCACTATGCGTGAATAACTTAACATAATACTTAGAAATATGTCGTTGCATGCCCGTTTGGGTGCCCCTTTTGAAATTTTTTCGCCCTGCCCTTTTTGTATCCTAGGGGAAACACTAGTCATTGAAACCTTGAATGGTATTTTGATGCATGAATTAAAGCGTAATTATGAGGGAATTTGAATTCTGATGTTCGGTGTGATGTGATATAATGTTCTTCAGTCGAGCAGCCAGAATTGCATCAGTACGTCAGACGGCGTCAAATGTAACATTTGAAACCTCAATCTTCAAACCTAATTTAGCTACCGTTAAATCGTCAGTAAAGTGAATTTCTTAACATGTTTTTCTTTTAGATATCGTGTACATAGGCTCCATTCACCCAGAGCATCACAAGCTGAGTACGTTGTGCCTAAATGCCGGGAAACATGTTGTGTGTGAAAAACCCGTTACCATGACAGTGGCTGCAGCCAAGGAAGTGTTCGCCCTTGCCAAAGAGAAGAAGCTCTTCTTCATGGAGGTAAAAACAACCTGTTAGCTGCGTACCTGATCTACTATGTACTCATATTATCTACGATTCCTCGGGTGCTATTATTTGCACTTGTTCAGCAATTTGCAAAAAGATTTTTTGCCGACTCCGAAATTTACACATAACTTGCTTTCCCAAATTTGCCACCATTTTCACACCTGAAATATATATTTGTTTCAAACACATTGCATCTAGTAACACGTTATATGATGCAATCAAATACAACACAACACAACACAACACAACACAACGCAACGGAACATAACACAACTCTGAAGTAATACAATTCAGCCTCATACAATACAATACAATACAATACGAAGTAGTCCAAATAGCACTTTTATCCAGCCCTGTAATAACACAATTCAACTTCATCGAATAAAATACAACGTAGTTCAAAATAATACAACTTGTATCCAGTACCATTCTATTTAATCAAAAACGCCACAAGGCATTCTACGCCATCCAACTGTCACTGACCATATTCCCGGGAAATAAGTCATTTTGAAATTTGGAAATGTGCGTTTGTAGTCTTTGCGTTTGTTTTTGATGCTGGTCGATGTTAATATATTAGACATCCACCAGCAAACAATATGCCTCACAACAGAATGGTCAAGGAATAGTGGGATTGGATAGCCTAGGATTAACGGATAAGATTAAAACATTTTAGGTTTACTTATTCGCCGAGAATAACTGCTTGTTCTGATACCAGTCCTTCTAATCCAAATTTATTGAATAAGATTTAAACATTTTATATATTCCACGACTATGACTGTTAGTTCTTGAACCAAGGCTTCTAGTCCAGGATTATTTGATAAGGTGAAAACATTTAATGTTACATATTCCCCCACACTGCCTCTAGATTGAACCAGGGCTTCTGGTCTAGGATTATTTGACAAGAAGAAAACATTTTAATCTTACATCTTCCCGACACTGCCTCTTCCTTGAAATAGGTCTTCATCTTGGATTATTGGATAAGATGAAAACATTTTAATCTTACATATTCCCCAGCACTGTCTCTTTGTTCTTGAACCAGGGCTTCTGGTCCAGGATTACTGAATAAGATGAACACATTTTAATCTTACATATTCCCGACACTGCCTCTTTCTTGAACCAGGGCTTCTGGTCCCGGATGTTCCCAGTGTACCGTCAGATCCGCCGGGAACTGGATTCCGGCAGCCTTGGGGACATCAAGATAGCGACGGCAAAGTTCTGTGTCAACAACTACAGCGTCGACAGGATGAACCAAAAGGCACAGGGGGGAGGGGGGCTCCTCGACCTCGGCTGCTACGTCGTCATGTTTGCCGACTTCGTCTTCGGCGGAAAGCCGGAGAAAATCAGCGTTGAGGGCACATTATCCGAAAGTGGTGAGACAGAAGAAATAACGTCAGCAGTTGTAAATATTTGCTGTTGTTATTATTATTATGACACTCGACGCGAAATGGGTAACACATTATCAAAATAATGATATGTTTCGAAACGACGCTTATTAACGTGATAGAAACGACAACGATGATTACTATGTTCCTTACGACAGCCTAGATGTTACCGATGGTTAGTGTTGATAAACGTTATCAGAATCTTGGTCATCCTTATCATCACCCTAGACGTCGTCCTCCTCCTCCACCTCCTCCTCGTCATCATCATCATCATCATCATCATCATCATCATCATCATCATTATCTGCCTCTTTACAATGAGATGAATTTCCTAGGGGTTGATACTGGAGCCGCCATCACACTCCGCTACAGTGGAGGCCGGATCGCCAGTTTGGTTTACAACATCACAACCTCTCATGAAGACAATGCTGCCACCATCCTGGGTACAAAGGGAAGCATCAGGGTGAGTGAGTGAGTTGGAAACATCAGGGTGATTGAATGGGTCCAGCTGCAATCTCTGTTTAGAGCAGCGTCAAACATGCCTACTGCGAGCGCCCGTCATATTCTATTATGCCCACATTCGGAAGTATTTTAGTTCGTTGTGCCGATCAATAAACCATATGGATGTGTTCACAAGGGTTTGAATCACTGTTTGGACAATACTTTTTAAAAATAAAAATCTAGATTTTTGCAACCGTGTATTGTTTTTATATGTTATGAGTAACTTATATTTCAAATTTGAACGAAATCGGTGAAGAAATGGATTTTTTAGAAAATTCTCCCGCTACACTTTTGCAATAATATATTGTATAAATATCTTATGATTAAAATATATTTCAAATTTGAACGAAATCGATGAACAAATACAGATTTTAGAAAATTCTACCCCTACACTCTTTACATAAAAGTTTTGGGTAACTGCGTGTAGAAACTGTGTCTCTTGAATTCTTATGGCTGAAATGACATGGTTCCCTAAATAATTTCCCTGGCATACCACAGGCCTAACACATCAGTGACCCGTGAAGATCCAGGTTAGAACTGGTCTTCAGTAACCCATGTCGTAAGTGGCGACTGACGGGATCGGGTGGTCAGACTCGCAATTCGGTTTACGCTTGTCATCGTATCCCAATTGTTCATGCAGTTGATCACTGGATTGCCTGGTCCAGACTCGATTATTTACAGACCGCCACCATATAGCTGGAATATTGCTGAGTACAACTAACTAACACTCCAGTAGACAATACAGCGTTTTAAATGATGCCAACTTTGTATATAACAGGACTGTTTCATGATACCAACTTTGTATATAACAGGCCTAGTTCATGATGCCAACTGTGTTTATAACAGGACTGTTTCATGATGCCAACTTTGTATATAACAGACCTAGTTCATGACGCCAACTGTGTATATAACAGACCTATTTCATTACGCCAACTGTGTATATAACAGACCTATTTCATGACGCCAATTGTGTATATAACAGACCTATTTCATGATGCCAACTGTGTATATAACAGACCTATTTCATGACGCCAACTGTATATAACAGACTATTCATGATGCCAACTGTGTATATAACAGACCTATTTCATGACGCCAACTGTGTATATAACAGACCTATTTCATGACCAACTGTGCCAACTGTGTATATAACAGACCTACCTTTCATGACGCCAACTGTGTATATAACAGACCTATTTCATGACGCCAACTGTGTATATAACAGACCTATTTCATGACGCCAACTGTGTATATAACAGACCTATTTCATAACATGATGCCAACTGTGTATATAACAGACCTATTTCATAACGCCAACTGTGTATATAATAATTTCATGACCTGTGTATATAACAGATATTCGATGACGCCAACTGTGTATATAACAGACCTATTTCATGATGCCAACTGTGTATATAACAGACCTATTTCATGACGCCAACTGTGTATATAACAGACCTATTTCATGACGCCAACTGTGTATATAACAGACCTATTTCATGACGCCAACTGTGTATATTACAGACCTATTTCATGACGCCAACTGTGTATATAACAGACCTAGTTCATGACGCCAACTGTGTATATAACAGACCTATTTCATGATGCCAACTGTGTATATAACAGACCTAGTTCATGATGCCAACTGTGTATATAACAGACCTATTTCATGACTCCAAGTGTGTATATAACAGACCTATTTCATGACGCCAACTGTGTTTATAACAGACCTATTTCATGATGCCAACTGTGTATATAACAGACCTATTTCATGATGCCAACTGTGTATATAACAGACCTATTTCATGACGCCAACTGTGTATAACAGACCTGCTTCATGACGCCAACTGTGTATATTACAGACCTATTTCATGACGCCAACTGTGTATATAACAGACCTAGTTCATGACGCCAACTGTGTATATAACAGACCTGTTTCATGATGCAAACCTTGACGCATATGTGAAACGAAGATCCTAATCAGTTGCAATCATTTTTTCATAGGTCGAACCAAACTTTTGGGCACCATTGAAAATGACTTCACCTATGGGTTCATTCGATTTCTCCCTCCCAAAAGGCAAATTTGACACGTATTATGGTGCGCAGAGTCATGGATTTCAATACGAACAGCAATGTGTCAGAGAATGTCTTCAGAAAGGTGAGTCTAAAAAGTATTGAATGTTTTTGTTCAAAGGTATTGAACGTCAACTTCTCCCAGATAGGTCATGCGGTCCACTATGAACAAATACTGACACACTCTGAAGACATCGACCCGTGAAGACACTCTTAGACACTCTTAGAGTTGGTCTCGTAAGAGGCCACTAACGAGATCGGGTGGTTAGGCTCGCTGACTTGGTTAGCTGGACTATTGCAGAGAGCGGCGTTAAACAACAAACAAACAATTTCGAGACAATATAAAGAACCAGAATAGAAAATGCTTTCGGTTGACGCTTTACCCATTGAAGCATTCGTTAAATATGCCCTACACCTGGCAAGTTGTATGTACTGACTGACTGAGTTTAGTTTTACGCCGCTTTTAGCAATATTGCAGCAATATCACGGCGGGGGACACCAGAAATGGGCTTAACACATTGTTCCCATGTGGGGAATCGAACCCGGGTCTTCGGCGTGACGAGCCAACGCTTTAACTACTTGGCTACCCCACCGCCCCAGTTGTATGTAACGGCGCATTGAACAGTATTTTGTAAATACTGTATTTGACAGCACATTAGCTTAATTCTGTCGGGCGAGGTAAGTCCGAGGCGAATGGGAGTTCGAATCCAATATTCGTCAAAAATATTACCCATCCTTTTAAGCACTGGTTTCAGAAGGTGCTATATTTTCCTGGTGCCAGAGTTGTTCGATGGTGCGGCCGAATTCATATTTCGCACTAATAATTCATGCGTTTTCGGTAAGACGCATTTGCTATTGGTTTTAGTCATAGTTTTATACATCTGTGATCCCAAGCATTGTGACATTTTACTCCACCAGCAAACTGACACACAGTTTAATAACTCATGCCGTCGCATCCCAATTGCGTAGATTGATGCTCATGCTGTTGATCACTGGATTGTCTTGTCCAGACTCAATTATTTACAGACCGCCGCCATATAGCTGGAATATTTCTGTGTGCGGCGTAAAACTAAATTTAATGTCTCTCATGTGAAATGTTTTTACGATGTTAAAATGTTTCTAAGACAACTACAACCATAACACCAACGAAAACAACAACAATGTCATAACATTAATAAACACACCTAATGCAACCTCCCACCAATGTTTTCATAACTAACGTTCAGTGTTTGTATCCCCAGGCTTGTTGGAATGTCCCCTAGTTACCCACGAAAGCAGCCTCAACATCATGGGGATAATCGAGACGGTCCTCAACGAACTGGGAGTCACATACGATTTCCCATACACTGTTTAAGTTTTCAGCCTTGAAGGTGACATGCTCAGCTCCGAAACTGAAGTGCAACTAACCCGCGTCAGGATGCGCATGAACTCGGAAGCGTGCGTACAATCCCTAGCTAGCGCGTGCTCGGATTCAATCACAACCGGCGAAGACATTGAAACGTTAACTTCCATTGGAAGGAGTTGGTGGATATCATTGTCTGATATTAAACATATAGAGTTAGTCTTGTTTTATTCTAACAAGTCTGTGTAGTTTTGTTGGGTTTTTCGTACGCCGGAAAAATGGACCTCAGACATTGTTCCAAGTGGGGAATCGAACGCGAGTCTTCGGCGTGACGAGCGAATGCTTTAACCACTAGGTTACCCCTCCGACCCAAACAATCAACAAGCGGAGGGTACAACAGCTGACCATTTTAAATGTTGATGCTCGGCTGCTCGAGGTAGTCAGTGAGTTTAGTTTTACGCAACATTTAGCAACTTTCCAACATTCTGGCGGGGGACACCAGAAATGGGATTCACACACTGTACTCATGTGGGGAAGTCGAATCCGGGTCTTCGGCCTGACGAGCGAACGCATTTACCACTGGGCTACCCAACCGCCCTTGCGCCAGGTAGTGAAATGCGATACGAGCATGGTGGACAAAAGGGCTAAAGTCAAAATGACAAAGTCTACCTGTCACTGAAAACGGCAAAACCCTTGTCAAGAACACATAAATTATATTTAATGTGATTTGGTAAAACGTGTTTTGATACATCCTACATCCTAATGAAGAAATTTTAAATTTATCTCGAAAATGTACTTTGAAAAAAATAATGATATTTAAGAAGCGGCCTCTCATGAAGCGACCTACACTGTTGTGTGTACCCTCTAAACATGAGTGAGTGAGTTAAGTTTTACGCCGCACTCAGCAATATTCCAGCTATATGTCGGCGGTCTGTAAATATGCGAGTCTGGACCAGACAATCCAATTATCCACAGCATGAGCATCTATCCACGGAAATGGGATACGATGACATGTGTCAGCGAGGCTGACCACCCGACCCCGTTAGTCGCTGAAGATCAATTCTAACACGGATCTTCACGGGCCTCACAAAAGACAAACAGAGTCTGTTCAGAAGTATTACAGGTTATGATCAAACAGTGCACCCAATACAACTAGCAGACAGTAAAGGGTTAAGTAAGTATTAAATCATATTCGGCACGTACATAATATTGCGATAAAGCTCTCAGGAGCATCCCATCAATAGCCTTGGCCATGAAATACATCCCATGTGTCCACACAAATGTTAGCTTATGGAAATGTGATCATATACTGCCCTCTTCATCAAACAATGTTATTGCTGCGTATACTATTCGTGGCAGAATACTGATGTTTGACAATAAACTGATGCAGACACGTGTCGTAACGGTACATATTGTTGGACTATACGTTTATTGGTATGAACCTTTTACCTCTTACCTTTCACATGACCTACGTCTACGGTGACTATATGAGGTGTAGTGAAAATCCCTAAGTCCAAACTACAGAACTACTGGATATCAACTCACCAAAGCATTACATAACGGTACTTATTGTTTGACTAAATATTTATTGGTATGAACATTTTACCTATTACCTTTCACATAACCTACGTCTACGGTGACTATATGAGGTGTAGTGATCCATCCCTCAGTCCACACTGCAGAACTACTGGATATCAACTCACCAAAGCATTACATAACGGTACTTTTTGTTTGACTAAATATTTATTGGTATGAACATTTTACCTATTACCTTTCACATAACCTACGTCTACGGTGACTATATGGGGTGTAGTGATCCATCCCTCAGTCCACACTGCAGAAGTACTGGATATCAACTCACCAAAGCATTACATAACGGTACTTATTGTTTGACTAAATATTTATTGGTATGAACATTTTACCTATTACCTTTCACATAACCTACGTCTACGGTGACTATATGGGGTGTAGTGATCCATCCCTCAGTCCACACTGCAGAAGTACTGGATATCAACTCACCAAAGCATTACATAACGGTACTTATTGTTTGACTAAATATTTATTGGTATGAACATTTTACCTATTACCTTTCATCCCTCATAACCTACGAGTATCTCACCGGTGACTATATTGTTTGACTAAATATTTATTGGTGTAGTGATCCATCCCTGACAGTCCACATCCCTCAGTCCACACTGCAGAAGTACTGGATATCAACTCACCAAAGCATTACATTATTGTTTGGTACTTTATTGTTTGACTAAATATTTATTGGTATGAACATTTTACCTATTACCTTTCACATAACCTACGTCTACGGTGACTATATGGGGTGTAGTGATCCATCCCTCAGTCCACACTGCAGAAGTACTGGATATCAACTCACCAAAGCATTACATAACGGTACAAAGCATTATTGTTTGACTAAATATTTATTGGTATGAACATTTTACCTATTACCTTTCACATAACCTACGTCTACGGTGACTATATGGGGTGTAGTGATCCATCCCTCAGTCCACACTGCAGAAGTACTGGATATCAACTCACCAAAGCATTACATAACGGTACTTATTGTTTGACTAAATATTTATTGGTATGAACATTTTACCTATTACCTTTCACATAACCTACGTCTACGGTGACTATATGGGGTGTAGTGATCCATCCCTCAGTCCACACTGCAGAAGTACTGGATATCAACTCACCAAAGCATTACATAACGGTACTTATTGTTTGACTAAATATTTATTGGTATGAACATTTTACCTATTACCTTTCACATAACCTACGTCTACGGTGACTATATGGGGTGTAGTGATCCATCCCTCAGTCCCACAGAAGTACTGGATATGCAAAGAAGTTTACTGGATATCAACTCACCAAAGCATTACATAACGGTACTTATTGTTTGACTAAATATTTATTGGTATGAACATTTTACCTATTACCTTTCACATAACCTACGTCTACGGTGACTATTATGAGGTGTAGTGATCCATCCCTCAGTCCAAACTGCAGAGCTACTGGAAAGGTTTTTTTAAAGAACCTAACTAAAGATAGCATATCGTGATATGCATCGAATCGAATCGTATCGTTCCAAGATATCGCAATACATATCGTATCGTGAAATTTCTGCATCGTCACACCTCTACTAAACATCGTCATCGTCTTCGTTATTGATGAAAGTCAGCATTGACAGGCCACCGGGGACACTCGGTTGTGGTGTAGAATACTTGAGTGGGCATCCCTGATATATTATGGTACATGGCGAATCTTGATAAACAGATTAAAGTTTGGATAGCTGAGCGGATTCTTTGCCCTATCCTGTTACCACATTGTATGACGACCAGCTGGAACATGTTGAGTTTGACCATACAAACCTTAGCATTAAGTAAGCACAACTATACACACAGAAGTTAATTAAGCACCCCTGTATTTTTGAAATGACAGGTTGCATGCATAAAACTTCTCGGAACAACATGAGTTTTTCTGACCCGTATGATCATTTGACTCATACAAATGACAAATTGATTGGAATCCATGTTGATTTTATGACGATAATTGCTCATTTTAAAACAAATACTCCACTGATTTTCATACAAAACCATGTCTGTACAAGTATCCCCCTGGCATGTTTAATGTTGAATTTATTTGTGAATGTGAACATTCAAAATGTCATTTTGCGTGTTTTACACGATTCAAGGTCAATACAGAGTGTAACCTCCATGTGACTGTATGACAGCCAGCACTCTCCTCCTCATACCCCCTGTCAGCCTCCTGATCTTCTGAAGGGGCAGTCTACGCCATTCCACGTGTAAAGCAGCTTCCAACTGGGCCAGGTTCTGTACAGGAGGATCCCTTTGCTGCACACGGCGACCAATCATGTGCCAGATATGCTCCAAAGGGTTAAGATCGGGGCTCATTCAATCGTGAGATATGTCAGGGGGGTGTATGAAACATGATGAATGGAAGAATGCTTTACGGGTGGAGATACATGTTAATACTCTCATTGAGAACATATACTTAATAGACCTTAAAATTGTTAATTTTCACTAGAAACTGACGGTTATGTCAAAATTTACACTGTTAATTGCTGTCAAAATTAATTTTTAAAGAAAATAACTAAAGATAGCATATCGTGATATGCATCGAATTGAATCGTATCGTTCCAAGATATCGCGATACGTATCGTATCGTGAATTTCTGTATCGTCACACCTCTATTAATAAATTATCTGTTTGTCTGTTACAACAAGGATGAAACACAATGCATTCATCCTACCCTTGTATTTCCTATTATCCCCTATGTATACATAAACATTCTTTCTTTATGTTACAGATGTACGACCAGCATCAACTTCAACCTCCTCGTCTACATCTACGTCTACTGAAACTGTAAGTAAGTGTCTTTGTACATTATACATTACAACATTACAACACGTCCGTGAAATAACAAACGGTTGTAACAATTCATGACATGTACATGCTTGATTAAATTAACATTTGTAATATCGGGTATTTGTAATTTGTTGTATTGGGTATTCTACACTTAATTTGGACTCAGTTCGGACAAGTCGATCAGAGGTTTCAAATCTCAGTCACCACATGGCTGATTACATTTAAATTTTCCTAATGTCGTATTGGGTATTCTACGCTTAATTTGGACTCGGATCTGACAAGTATATCAGAGGTTTCAAAGCTCACTTACCACATGATTGATTAAATTTAGCTTTTCCAATGTTGTATTGAGTATTCTACACTTAATTTGGACTCGATTCTGATACGTTGGTCAGAGGTTTAAACACCTTGCCCGGCCACATTACAGATGACGCATACGTTAAGAGAACATTACTTCTTTCAATAATTGTCAGTTGGCATTTTGAATTCTTTTTCTGTACAATTGTACTTTGCAGAAAAACAACTTAGCAACATTTGGAGCATAATGTTGCGATACTTCAATTTAGAACCTGAGCTGATGGTAATTGTAGAAGAGAATCTATCCTGACAATTTGGATTATTAATCTTGTTGGGTTAGCCTTGTGGCTAAAGCATTAGCTCGTCACGCTGAAGACCCGGGTTCGATTCCCCCGCCTTGATGCAATGTGTCATGCCCATTTCTGGTGTCCCCAGCATGATGTTGCTGAAATACTGTGCAAAACCTTAATCACGTCTTCGTTGTTCTTGCTATTTATCTCTTGATTGGCTGGTCCAGAGTAGATTTTTTACACCTGCCATCATGA